GGTCCCTTTGATTGTGCTATGTGAAACCTATACTTGGACCAGAAGGTAGTCGTCAGAACAGAGCAAGGAGACACTGTATGGTTCAAAATCTGGAAGGGTGTCCACCATGGATGTATTCTGTCTCCATACCTTTTCAATCTGTATGCAGAACAGATCATCCAGGACAACGGACTACACTAGGAGGGATGTGGCATCAGGATCAGAGGAAGAATCATCAACTATCTGTGTTATGCAGATGACACAACCCTGCTTGCTGAAACTGAGGAAGACCTGAAGAACTTGCTGCAGAAGGTCAAAGACTACAGTCTTCAATATGGATTGAAGCTCAACATCAAGAAAACAAAGATTCTCACCACTGGGCCAACTGGCAGCATCATTATGGATGGTGAAGAGATTGAGATTGTTAACAGGTTTAGTTTGCTTAGCTCCACAATCAACACTCTTGGTACCAGCAGCCAAGAAATCAAGAGAATTGCATTGTGAAAGTCAGCTGTCAGGGACCTTTCAAAGTACTGAAGAGCAATCATGTCGGGCTGGAGACTAAGATGTGCCTGATCCAGGTCATAGTCTTTGCAATTGGGTGCTATGCATCAGAGAGCTGGACAATGACTAGGGATGACAGAATTGATGCCTTTGAGCTGTGGTGCTGGAGAAGAGTGTTGAATATACCATGGACTGCTAGGAGAACAAACAGGTTTGTCCTGGAGAAGGTGAAACTGGGCTGCTCCTCGGAGGCAAGGATTCTGAAGCTTTGTCTGACATACTTTGAGCATGTTGCATGGAGAGACCAGTCCTTGGAGAGGGACATCATGTTTGGGAGGGTGGAAAGACAGTGCAAGAGAGGAAGAGATGGCTCTATTCAGTGATTGGGGTCAGGTTGGCACAGAATAGAGCAGTTTAAAGCTCTTGTACATAGGGTCACTATGGGTCACAAGCGACTCGACGACACATAAAAACAACATTTTTAATAAAAATGTCTCAGTTGAATATTACAGGAAATATGAAGAGCAAATTAAATGGCACCATAAAGACAGTCAGAAAAAGAGAGAAAAATGTAGATCATTCCATAGGAACAATGGCCTCAGCTTTCCAAAAAGTCAATTCAAAAACAACACATATGAGGTGACTATTTAATATTGAAGGAGAACAATGTGGTGTAACAAACAAATGCAATCTATCCTTGAATGGCTACATCTTATGCAGGGCATTTTAAAATACTGAGTATTATAAGAATTCTTTGAATTACTGAATGTAATGAGTACTCAGTGTACCTCATTTATCAACTATAGTTTAACAGGACATGCATAACTAATCAAAAGGGGGAGGAAAAAGAAGAAAAATACCTAAGGAAAGATTTACACACAGATAGACTCAACTGTGGAGGGCTGACAGGAACTGAAAAGGAGGTAAAGAGAGTTATTGTTGTTCTTATGTGCCGTCAAGTCTTCAACGACTCATAATGACCCTACGTACAACAGCCCTGAATCCTGCTCTACCCTGAGCCAACCTCATTGTCTCTGACACACCTATGGAGTAGAGATTAGCAAATAGGAGAGTAGGGTGACTAGAAAAGGAGAATATAGCAAGGATTAGATAAGACATTGTAGATAACAGCATTGTACAATCTTAGTAACTACTGTAAAACAAACTGGATATGTGTAATTGGATGAAAACCAATTTAAAAAAATAAACAGAAACTACCAGCAGGGCAGTCTGCTTTTGTAAATACATAACCTCAGAAACCTGATGTAGGGAAGCTGAGACTTACAAGTGACTTGGTGGTGGTAGGTACTTTAACAGTTTGTTGTTGTTGTTGTGTACCTGTTTACCATAGAATTAGAACCAACCCATAACTGACCCTCTGGTGGGTTTTTAGAAGCAGTTAATTGCACGTGGGAGATTGCCCATCCTTCCCCCAGGAAGCAGCTGGTGGCCTTAAACTGGATACCTTTGGGATTGCAGGGCTGTTTCTTGCCACTAGGCCACCTGGATAGATTGTTTAGCAGATTTAAAAAAAAAATCCCTGCAACCATATATTAACTATTATAATCTACAGGCATCATGTTTGCTTTTATGTTGTTATGTGCCATTGAGAGGCCTGTGACTGACTCATAGTGACCCTATGTACAGCAGCTCCGAATGCTGCCCTGTCCTGAGCCAGTCTTACTGATTCTGACACACCAACCTCCACTGCCCCAGTTATTATTATCATCCTGGATTTTCCTCTCCTGCGCTGTCCTTCCACCCTTCTGAGCATGATGTCCTCCTCCAAAGACCAGTCCTTCCTGGTCATGTGCCCAAAGTATTGTGAGAGGGAGCTTCACAATCCTAGCCTCCAAGGAGAAATTTGGTTTCACTCTCTCCAAAACAGACCTATTTGGTTTTTTTTGGTGGTCCATGAAATATTAGTCAAGTAAAATCTCATTTATTCAGCCAATTTTAATAAGAAATTGGCACCTTTAAATTTTATAGTAATAAATATAAACTCTCTGCATTGTGCAATGTCAAGTATGGTGGCTACAGAGGTGAACCATCTGATGCTCAATATTATGGGTTGAATTATGTTCCCTCTCCAAAACACATGCTGTAAATCCTAACCTATAGGCTGTGCTTATGTAATCTCATTTTGAGATGGCTGTCTTTTCATGTTAATGAGGCAAGATTAGTGTAGAATTTAATTTTAGTTAATTTATTTTGAGCTGTTAAGATGTTAAGCAAACAAGTGAGCAAGCAGAAATGGGGAGAAAGAAATGCCAAGCCACATGAAGAGCAATTGCTCAAATGAGACAAAGTCCTCCAGACTCAACAGAAGCCTTCCCTTTAAGCTGTTGTTGTTGTCTGCTGTTGAACCATGGGAATTGGCCTCTAGCTGACTCTCTGATGGGTTTTCAGAGGCAGTAAATCACATGAGAGAAGACTGCCCATCCTTCTCAGATGGACAGCATCTGGTGGATTTAAACCTTGTGCCTTTGGTATTGCAGTACAGCTTCTTACACTAGACCACCAGAGCTGTGAACAGAAATATTTATTATTTCCCTTAGAGCTAGCACTCAAAATTTGAACACTAAAAAAAAAATTTATTCTATTTTTATTGTTACTGAAATTATACATAGCAATATGCCAATTCAATTATTTCTACATGCTCAATTGTTACATTCTTTGTGCTGTGCAAACATTTTCACACTCCTTTTTTAAGTTACTCTGCCACTATTAACATGGACTCATTTAGTATGCAGAGTGTGTGTGTGTGTGTGTGTGTGTGTGTGTGTGTGTGTGTGTGAGTGATTTGGGTGAAAGCTTACAGAGCAAATTAATTTCTCATCCAGCCATTCATACACATTTTGTTTTATAATATTAATTTCACCCTCAATGTAATGATACTTTATCCACTTCCTCCCTGTAATTCTGATCAATTCTTTTGTACTTTCCTGGGTCTTCTCTTTCTTTAGTGAAATTGTGCTGATCATCCCCTTATTGTGCATTGCCAAGGACTGAGTAGTTCAGAGAATGGGTTCCTAATTCACCCACTAGTCGATTCCAGCAGGGTTTAGGGAAGGAAATATTCAAAGAAAGATATGAGAGTTTACTGTTATCATTAGGCACCATCTAGTTGATTACTACTCATAACAATCCTATGTGGCAGGATAACAGCTGCCTCATAGAATTATCTTCTTTTTAAAAAGCAATTGTATTTAAAACGGTTTTTTATTTTACATTGGGTTTACATACAAAATTCATAAATGTAACCTTTTTAAAATGCATCTTGTAACTTTGGTAAGCTCAGTTATTAATAAAGGTTTTTATTTTATATTGGGTCTTACTGAAGTAGATAATTTCTTCTGAATAGCAATGAGTTAGGTTACAAACGTCTACATTTCAGTAGTTTAAAGGTTGTGACACCAAGGCCCCAGGCTCAGAAACACTGGTCAGGAAAATGATTTCTACTGTCAAATTGTTTGGTAGTCATTGACCTGAACACTCAGTGGGCTCTGTGCCTCACTTGTTTGGTCTGTAAAAAGGACTTAATATATGGCTTAAATAAAAGAAGACACTTAAACTCTTCCGTCAAATAGGCTAACCTGTGTTTATTGGTGTTACTTACCAAACTCCACAGGGTACTATGCTTGATGAAGGTTCTTAGCAAAAAACAAGGTGTACCCTATACCTGACCTGGGTATATCCACTAACCAATATTCTTTTGTACTAAAACAACCTCTCCTCCAAATTTAAATTCTTGTTACAGCAGCAACTTTATGTGTAACTGACCAATCTGTTGTCCAGGTCCTGAGCCATCTTCACTGTTGCTGTGTTTTGAGTTCATTTTTGCAGCTGTTATTTCTGTCTCATTGAGAGACTCCGTCTGTCTTTTTTTTACTGACCTCCTCTTCACCAAGGACCGATGTCCTTTCGTGGCTAGAGTTCGGTTCTGAGGACATGGTTAAAGCAAAAGAGATGAAATCTTGTTGCTGTTTCTAAGGAGCATTCTGGTTGTAAAGAGACTTGTTTATTCTTCTGGCAGTCAAAGTATTTTCAGTATCAGGGATTAATTTCCTGAAAAAAGAATTAAGTATTTCTTGTTTTTGCTTTGTTGGGGATTGTTAATGTTTTGGCTTGGCTGGTTGGGGCTTGAGGGTTTTTTGCTTGTTTTTGTCAAGTTCACCTGCCCTGTGGCACTTTCCTCCTGCCCTGTGAATTCTGGAAGATACGACCCCAGCGAAAGAACGTTTCTGTCACCAAATTCTCGGAGCCCTGAAGTAGTGTCTGCGCAGAACAAACCCACAGACCGCACAGCCCAACCAAAGCCTGGACTCTAATCCGAGCGGAATCTTTAGTTCCTGAGCCACGCCCCCGGCGCTGCGCTCGCCCAAGCACGCTCCATTCTGATTGGCCATTCTTCCCAGTTTGCCGGCATCCTGTATCCAATAGACGTAGCGCTTATTGAGCGGCTGCGGCAACGGTGGTACACAAGAGCTTGATCGGAGGGCGAGAGGATCCTGGCCATGAATTTGGGGTAAGACAGGACAATGAAGTTGGCTAGAGAGAGAGAGGAGGGTGATGCTGGGTTGCACTTTGGAGTCCAAGGTGGAGACCTTTGCGAGCTGCGCGGCCTCTGGCAGCAGTCCGCATCTCCCTGAACCTGAGCGAGCCGGAGGCCGCGCCTTTACTACCTCATAGCGGTCTTTTCCGCCTTCGAACTTGTGTGCAAATTGCCTGCCACCGCCTCCCGCACCCTCCTAAGCCACCAGAGCTCCCTCTGAGGGAGGCGAGGGAGGAAAAGCGCGGCTGTGCTGAAGGATGAAAGACAAAGGCGGATAGAGAGATAAAGCTTAACAGAGTCCCAGGGAGTATTCCTGGCCCAGCCCCCTGGATCTCCCTTTGGGGTTTTGCTGAATGTCAGAGTGCTCAGTTTAGTTTCTCAACGTGGAAAGATGGGAGGAAACAGGTTCTTGAAGGGATTCTTGTATTGTTAAATTTGCAGTTAGTTGATGTCAAGTAGATTCTGATTCGTGGTGACACAAGGTTTTTAAGTGCCATCGGATCGAGTCAAGACCTATGAACAGTAGATCTGAACTTTGTTCTATACTGAGTCGTTCTTATCTTCCATGACACATTTGAGTCCATTGCCGCAGATAATGTCCATCACGTTGAGGGTCTCGCTCTCCTTTGTTGGCCGTTCTCCTTTCCAAGCATGATGTCCGAGGAATAGCCTCTCCTAAAAACATGTCTGAAATATATGAGACAAAGCTTTACCATCTTTGTCTTCAATCAGCACTCTTGCTGCGCTTTCCCCAAGACCTATTTTACTGGGTTTTTTGTAGCCCGTGGAATATTCAGCACTTTTCTCTAACACCACAACTCACAAGTGCATCAGTTTGATACATTTCTTCTCCCATCCTTATTCATTGTTCAATTCAGCTCTGACTGCATAGATTGGAAAGACTGGCTTGCATCAGGCGCACCTTGTCTTTAAAATGACTTCATTGTTCTGCAGGACTTTGGAGAGAACTCTAACAGCAGACTTTCCCAATGCTATATACATCGCCTGATTGCTAGTACCAAGGGTGTTGACTCGGATCCAAGCAAGATGAAATTGTTGACAGTTTCAATCATTTCTCCATCTATCATGATGTTGCCTTTTGGTCCAGTGGTGAGGATTTTTGTTTTTTAAAGTGGAGATACAATCCATATTGAAGGCTGCATGCCTTGACCTACTGTAGCAAACGCTTCAGATTATCTTCACTTTCAGCAAGGAAGGCTTGTCATCTGCGTGCAACACTCCATTCATAAAGTCCAGCTTCTTGAATGATTTACTCAGCATACAGATTGAAAAGATACGGAGAAGGGGATATAGCTTTGATACATACCATTTCTCATTTTTAACCATACAGTGTTTCCTTGCTCTGTTAGAGAAATTCTTGGTCTAGGTTTAGATTTTTTGTTGTTGTTATTGTTGTGTGC